CAAACTCATGGCAGCAAGACCAACCTTATCTTACAGAAACGGCCTTGAGGGCAGTTTTCATCCGCTGGCTCATAATGTTCCTGTTGAAAACACATTTTGAACTAAACATCTGTAACGTACTCAAAACTTTATTTGATACACACACAATGAACTTTAATGAAATGTAATAAAGAAAAACCTTTTCAGAAATGAAAGCACGGAGAACAGGAAACTATCTTCCCTTCAAAATAAGAGCTTGGATTTTAAAGTTTTCCATGTCATTTCTGAGTCTCTAGCCCCGTTGCTTCAACCAATTACATCAAGTATTGCGCTTCAGAGCTCTTATTGTAAAGTAAAATAAATCAATACATACAAAATTTTAGTATGGATTAGAAATGTTAACTGTTTTTGCTGGGACAGGGAGTTATAAACACTGCCTTCCTGCTAGATAAGGAGACACAAAGCATTGTGGGGAATGAGAACCATGACCGAAAGCAACAGTCAGCAAGGATATATACCTTCCCAATAAGTGTGTTTATCTGGAAGTGGTGCTGTTGGAAAAATCATGTGTGTTGTGATTTATTGACAGCCACACCTTCCGCTGTTCAAGATAATGATGACTGGTAGATAATTAGTTATTAGCAGTACTGCATTTTAATTTTAGAAAGCACAAGTCTGCTTATGAATTATAAAAATTAGTAAGACAGCTAAAGCGCAAACAAATTTTTTAGTTCCACAATTAGCGGATTTGCTCTTTAGGGGGCTGGTGCCCACCACTGAGATTAGTAATAGTTAGTTTTAGGGAAAATGTCTGGGCTAGGCATAAATACAGTTACAATTATGAATGAAAGTCAATACAAWGTCCTCAGTTTGATGCAAGTACAAGGATGTGTGTGTGTCCCATCATCTGTCTTTGCCTGACAGGGTAGTGGTGGCTTGGAGCAAATGTCACCTGGTGGTGGCAACAATCACAGTCCAAAAACCTTCACATTCACAAACACGATCACTTTGGACACATCTGTGCTCTCATGTTTTTTTTTTGTTGTTGTTGTTTTTTTACTTTCAGCTGTGTTCATCTCAGTCTTCCGTCCTCAATGGAAAGAAGATAAAAACAGAATCGTCAGTATCTTTACACAGACTGAGACGCAAACAGCTGCTGATGCACGCAGAGAGTTTCATGTAAATAGGAACATACATACACTCGTGCTGACAGTGGAGTCATGTTTGTGAGTGAAATGCAGGACAACAGTTGAAAAGGTCAGTTAGTCATGAGTTAGTCAGGACTTTGAAAGCCAGCTCACAGTCGGCTGTGGGCTCAAACTGTGCAAATACAAACTGTTAAAACTGATTAGAAGAGACTGAAACCACACAGGAAGGATGCATACTGACTTATTAAGCATTGTCTCTTATGCAGAGCATCATCAGTTATTCTGAAAACAAATAGCTCTTTAATTTTATTCCCAGACATCTGGTTTTATCTGTTTTTTTATGGATGACTAGAGCAGCATTTGACAATGAGCAGTAATTTTCTACTACATACACAGTAGCTGAAAAACAAAAGGAAATTCTAAATTTAAAGTAATAAACATTTGTTTCTTGTATTTTTTTAGGAAATTAAGGAAGTTTTTTTTTCATATTTTGGCATTTCCATCAATCTTTTCTAATGTGATACTTCAAATTGCACATTTTATTTTTTTACTTGATGGAAACATGGATAATGAGGAACTGGAAATTTATTGAGAACTGACTGAGGTCAGAAAAGGAAATACCACTGGAGACATAACCACAAGGGTTACAAAGAGACGCAAATACAGAAACACAAGAAGATAAGAATCTAAACTCACATGGAAACATCGGTCACAGAGAACCAGAAAATGAATAAAACTTACTAAACTCAAAGGGCCACTGAAATAAACAAACCAAAACACAGACTATGACAAAACCATGGCTCAATGTTTGTTCATCCAAACTGCTCTGGTTCCCATTGTTCTTCATTTCTGCCGAGGCCACGTGTTGCATCTTCGTGAAATTTGTCTTCACAGATTGCAAACAAGCATCTGCAGGGGTGTAACTTCAGCGTGTGTGTGTGTGTGTGTGTGTGTGTGTGTGTGTTCTTGTTTTTCCTACATTGTGGGGCCCATGTTTAAGGAAAATGCAGCATCATGGGGTCCGGGTGCTCCTTGGGCCTCACAACTTCGGAGGCTGATTTTGGGTGTGGGGGTTGAGTTTATGACCAAGGTGTGAATTGAGTTTAGGTTAGTTTTAGGGTCAGAAAGGCACCTTTGAGGTTAAGATTAGGGTTTGTGGTCAGGGTTAGGATATAAAATAGCCAAAAAATGAATGGAAGTCAATGGACGGGCC